GGATGGCTTACCTACACTGTTCGCGTAATAGTTGTTATAATTAAATTTAGCATCTTTCTTCTGGGTTGGTTTGTGTTTGAGAATTTGCTCCCACACAGAGCTCACCTCACATATGCATGCTACGCATTAAGTCCATTAGTGCTTTGAATTAGCTTCAGAAAAGGTAATACTCCACATAATTTACCCAGTCAAGGGCATTTTCACCTGCTGACAAATTTACATATTTCCCAATGTCATTAGGTAAGAGCTAGTCATCAGAATAGCAGAGGGTGTGATCATTAGTTAGTTCATTTATTTGACTCCGTTGAGGTTAACATTAATTATAGTCTAAATTACATTTAGCAATTGTTGTCTTTCTTGGATGGAACACTACATTACTATTGCAAGAAACTATAATTTTAAAAGTCCACACCAGAATAGGATGGATGCCTTTTGAAACATTCTGGAAGGATTAGTATTTAAGGCAGCTATACAGAAAGTAGTTTGCATGATGCCAATTTGAACATTATTTATACATTAATTTGACAGGATATAAAATCAATTGCCTAATTATTGGTTAAATTTATCAAAGAAATTCTACTGAAAGGTGCTTGATTATGGTGCATAGTTATGATAATACAATCAAATTTCCTTTCAGACATAATTGACCAATTTTGCTCCCTGGTCCATTTCTTTCTCATTCTTAAGATGGGCTTCTTCATTTGTTTCCCCTTTCAAAGCAAAAACTAGCAAGTGCTGTACATGGTCATCCTGTAATTATTTGGTCAGATCTTTCCATGCTGAAACTGTACACTTAAACACAGGCCTAATACGTGGAATTGCCGTAATTTAGAATGCTGTAAACACAGATCATGCCGTAATCCAAAGAGGTACCCGTGTCGGTGTTTACCAACCTGATCCATATGGCAGGGAGAAATCTGTAAGATGATACAGTTTATCAAATCAAGTTCCCTAAATCTTAGCTAGCAAATTCAGCATTCGTCATAAACAGTGAATTACCCTTACAGATGTTAGACTATGAAATTATCCACTACTGAAGGTACTTTGCTAGGAAACACAATCTGTTCAGCGTCAAATCTAAGAGAAGCGCTCTATCTGCGTTTTTGACTCGAGAAAGGACTTAATTGATAGTTTGTTGATATTTTTAAGTAAATTCTCGCAAGGAACAAATAAATCACGCTACTGCAAAACAAATAATCATTGAACATCCATCCTTGGCTAGCATTTAGTGCATGCTGCTCTCCTCGGCTTAACTCTTCCAGAAATGATTACTCTAGGACCCATCAAACCCCGCAGAGCCCAGAAAAGAAGCCGCTACCGCTGCCCGTATTATTACATATGAGCAGCTTAAGAGTCCCTCATATGATAGATGAATTGTAACTGCAAAACACCACCATCAGGGCCAGAGTTATTGTTCTTTTTCATTTCTGTTTGGACTCGAGGGTAGCTTGATTCTAAAGAGAAAACGGCATGCTGATGGAAGCAGGGACGCGGTCCGGGCTGTGCGGCACAGGTTGTTGCCTTTACGTTTCTGATTTATAAAATTTATAATACACAATAATATACTTGTCAAGGAGCAAAGACAAGTGAATTTATACGGCTTGTTTTGCAGGAGGAGGGTGGCTGGAGGAAAGGTGCTGTCGGCTGGTGAATTCTGGTCTGTTTGAAAAACTACATAAAATTATTTTGGCATAATTGAATTTGCACAACTTATGGAACGAGCAGAAGCTGAAATGAATCGGTGGCTGATGCCATCACCACGTCAATCACAAAGGAGCCGGGGGCTCATGGAATCAGAATGGATTCAGGTACGTCAATAGGAACAGAATGAACGGATAGGTTCTATTCATTCCTGTTCTGCAAAACGTGACTAATAATGTAATCTTTCAGGACTGTTGTGAAAACTACATGACTTAATGTGCTCAAGTACTCTGCCTAGAAGTGGCACATTGATATGATTTTGTATTAGTGGCAGGGGGTTTTTACTGTTATTATTTTATTATTTGAAGTGCGATTTGAACATCTCAACAATGGTAGAAAGAGAATGAATTCCTGAGACCTGCTCCAACTATACTGGTTTGCTGATATTCTTAAAGTTGCTAGAACTAAGTCAGCCAGCATCTGGGGCAGTTTTTTTGTTTGTTTGTTTTTTTTTTTTTTTTTTTTTTTGTTTTTTTAATCCAGAGATTCTCCCCGTAGGTCTGTGATGGGGCAGTTGACAGTTTGGTGAAGTGCAAAACAAAGACCAGGTTCTATTTCTGCTTTCTGCCGTACACTGGCTTCACCCTTGCTACAGATCATTTGTAACCTCTCCGGGTCTCAATTTCTTGAAATAATTAGGGCCTGCACCACGTTTCCTATAATCAAAATAAGATAATGGGGTTCAAGTGCTTTCAAAGGCAGTCATGTGCTATGGAAACCTAAGGTCATCCCATCCGGTCGAGTCAGCCCTGGAAGACCCGAGGAGGTGGCCTACAGGACAGCATAGAGCCAGGCGCACAAAGAAAGAGAAGTGGAAGGCATCGGTATAAAGGAGAGCCGAGGCCATTATCAGAGAAATGGTTAGAGGAACTTTCAAAGGAAGCCAACTGGTTTGAATTTGAAACGGCGTTTTGGAAAACGAGGCTCTAAGAAAATGCATTAGGGAAAGGTATTTCCACTGCCTGGGGACGGAGGGCCTGAGAGAGGCCAGCTGTGTTCTAGTTGGTTAATAAAAGAAGTCTGTCGGGCTACAGAGGGCAAAAAGGGGGCATCAGTGAGGTGGGGCAGTTGGGAGAGCAAACCGTGTGCACACTTTAAAGATTCTCTCACTGCAGGTGGGTGGTGGGGTGGGAGTGGTAATTCCCTCGGTTACTACGAACAAGAGATCGAAAAGCCACACAGCTAGAGAGTGATGGAACAGCTCTTCCTACTCCTGTGTCCCCTTCGTCCACACGGCTGGACCTCAGTGAGGGAGAACATGACTTTGCGCTTGGCTCAGCTTGTCTGAAAAGCGCTCAGGGTGTCGGGGAGAGGAGGAGAGAAAGAGAAAGAAAAAGAGAAAGAGAAAGAGAAAGAGAAAGAGAAAGAGAAAGAAAAAGGTGCCCCCCGAGAAGGAGGCAGATGGACAGCAAGGGGACACAGACTGTCTCAAACAAACAGGAACACGAAACTATGACAACAAAAATGGCCAGCCAGCACTCTGTTGTGCCACATAGAGTGGTCTGTACAAATTGAAGAATTAGTCATGAAATTTGGGACACGAACTTCAAAACGCTTATTTTTATTCTAAGCCTGGGTGATGAAACATGCCATTCTTCAATAAAGGAAAGCCCACTCATTAATGGTGCCATTGAAAAAAAAAAAAAAACGAATTCTATACAATCTAGAGCCCTTCAAAAAAAAAAAAAGACATTTCCCTAGATTCTCTCTCAAGAACAGAAGGACTTTTGTTACTTTCTCAAAGGGTGCTATCTTTTATGAGCTTATTAAGGCAACCTGCTTCTTTTCTTTCCATGTTTAAGCGACATTCTGTTGTTCTCTCTAAGTGGCTCCTCCAGCCTCTGCCAGGTGTTCGCTCACCTCGCTCCCCTCGCTCAGGCACCGTGTGGGCCACGCAGGCACCAGGGCCGGGCTGCTCTTAAGGAGAGATTCCACCTGCGGCAAACTACGCAGCGATGTTGAAATGAGTCCGACATTCCTTCGGGAGTTCAGAAAAGACCCCTGACTTCAGCTGGCAAAGCACGACTGCCGTAGAGACTCGAGGAAGACAGGTTGCTTGCTGTGTTACCTTTCTTTTAAGGAGGGCAAAGATTTGCCGTATCTGACCCGTGTCTGTCCAATGAAAGGAGCAAGCGTAGATTTCTCAAGAGCAGTCTCATCTCTGATGGGAGTAATAGGATTCGTGTCTTTAATAAGCCAGTGACAATGCTCTTGGGCTGAAAAGAGTGCGCAAATATCCACAACAGGTGAAATCAGGTGGTCGGTGAACATGATGATCAACAGCTTTCTCCTCTTTATTACTCCTTCGGCTGTACCGTCACAGGGTTGGCTTGGACCACTGGGCTGCTGAGAAGGCACTTACCACGGGGAGTCTCAGGGAGAGTTGGGGGCGACATCCTCACTTTGGAAAGTGAGGAAAGGACGTGCGGAATTTTCAACAGCACACGGATTGTTGTCTTTCCTCAGCGGAAAGCCTGCGTGGTTTTCTCATGGCCACACGGATCATCATTTATCATAATAACGAGCACTTATATACCACTTGGCAGCTTATAAAGGAATCAGGGCAGGTATTATTATCCTCTTTCACAGACGAGGAACGGAGACTGAGAAAGATGAAGTTCTCTGTCCAAATCACAGAGTGACAAACAGTAGAGCCGGCTCTGGAACTCACAGTCACGACTGCAGTTCTTAGGATGCTAACAGCCAGAGACAGGAGACGCAGTTTGCAGGCTGGGCTCTGGGGTTTCCTCTGGTTTAATCATCTACTTTGGGAGGGGTCACTGCCACCTTTTGCAACTTTGTGCTGCCTCCATGCCATCCTTACGCCCACATCCCCCCATTAGTAACATTTCCTACAACCTGCCTTCACTCCCCACTCTGGCATCTTGCCCCCTCATCATAGGTCAGAAGCCCCATAACCATGTTCCACCCACAAAGGAGCCGGAAGCGGCAATGAAGTTGAGACTGGAGGTCCCAGAGAGCAGAACGCCCAGAGTGAGAGAAGGCTGCCTGAACAGGGAGAGTTTCCTGAAGAAGGTGGGGAGTCTCAAAAGAAAGAGCCAGAAAGGCACGAGAATGAAATAGAAGCTTGGTGAGACAACAAGACTAGCTTGGCTGGGGTTGGGGGACAGGTGACAGGGGAGAACTGAACCAGGAGATGGGAGCAGAGGGGTCTTCAAAGTGGAAAATGAGACTTCTCCATCAGGATACCCACCCCCCCCCCGAAACAGCGAAGTAATTAGTTAAGCAGATCCATTGCTTCGTTATTAAAAGGCACAGAAATAAAGGTTTAAACTCACCCGTAAGATTTCTTCAACACAGCTTGGATCGCTGGGAAGGCTTACCTAAAATAAAATAAAAAACAAACAAACAAACCTTAAGCACGATCTAGCTCTTCTCAGAGAAGCTCGTTGTACAATATTTTACAGCGCAGGAAAAACAGTAAAGAAAGCAAATACAGCTATCGATGTGGGTTTTTCCCCTAGTTAGTACAAAGCAGAAAGTATCTGCTAGTGGCCAATTTTGTTTTACTTTCACGAAGCAGTCAGACCACAGTGGAAGGTGCAGAAAGACTGTAGAAAGGGTGACTCGTTCTGTCACTGATTTTCTGTGGGATGCTGGCCTCTCCTCCCCCGGTGCATCCAGGCTTTACTTTGCTCATCTATCCAAAGAAGGGGCTCGGCTTCCCCATCTTTAAGGCCTATCTGACCCACTGACAGAGTTTAATATATTCTTCATAATTACATATTTTTAAAGATGAGGCTTATAGGAAACACCTCTATGATTAAGTTCTCTTTTAATTTCGGGGTCCAACCGGACTCCTACAATTCTTCTCCAAAACACTAAGGTTCAAACTCCCGTGTAAACCGCACGCTTGCCTTGGCACTCGGAGAGAAAGAATCTCACAAACATACAAAGCGAATCCCATGAGCCGTCTTTCCAAGCGTGACATCTTCCCGATCTCCATAATCAGTGAAAGCAAGAAGCCCGACACCAAAGTGAGACACCAGCTGTAAAGCAGTGCCTGACGGGGGACTTGGGCACGGGACAACCCCCCGGGGAAAGGTCTGCCAGGCATGACGTCACTCGTGTGAGTTACAGCACCACCCACCCCCCAACATCCCTCTCTCTTTCACACCTTCACCATTTGTCACCTTCCACTTCCCTCCAGTTCTGGCGAGGAGAACATCTGGTCGCTTTAATTCACTGCCTTGAAGGGAAAGGTCAGCCCTGTAAAAGCGGCACTGCCACAGAGGCTATATGTCCCGATCTCTTGCAAGGACAGTTAAGTGATAGCCCCCTAGTTAGTCCGAAAGACTGAAGTATGAGCACACGCGTATTTGGGGAAAATGGAAAATATATGGCTCCAGTGTCCCTCGACCTTATAAAAATACATGCTATAACCATCAGTAAAGGAGCATGAAATCCCTACCGGGGGAGGCAGGCTGAGAAAGAGTCACCAATAATGAGGGGGCCGTCCGTCATCTGGGATGTTACACCTGTAACGCTGGAGGAATTATCGCCAGTGTCTCCGTTCGCCCTTACTAAAGTCCCAGTTTGGAGGGCAAATTATTCAGTTACCCTTCTCAGAACAATGCTATTCTAGTACTGGGTAGAGAGAACAGTAGAAGGAAAGACTGAAAAAGTGGGCCAGGCACACTTTCTAAAGGACCTTCGATATGGGTTTCCAACAGGGAACCACGGGTAGGTTGGCCCAGGACAGTTCATTCATTCATTCATTCATTCACGCAACACAAAGTTTTGAGGGCCAGGGACTGTGCCTCTAGGCTTATGAAAAGTAAGAGGAGAGACAGTTGCCTCCCTCATGGAGTTCGTAGACTCAGGAGGAAGGGGGATATGAGGAATCACAGAGTTAACATACCACCGTGACTGCAGTAAGTGCCACAGACACCATCCCACAGACACTAGGTGTGCAAAATGAAAGTGTCCGTGTCCAAAGAAGTGTGGGAAATGCTGCAATCCACCCCCCCCACGCGAGCAAATCCACCATGCAAATTAAAGGCTCTGAGACACCTGTCTAACTGGTTTAATGCAACACTTTCCCAACTTTCTTGATCATTGAATTCTTGGGTTTTTAATTTTCGAGATTGTTGTTTCCCAATCAACGATGACCACCATCCCATAGAATGAGTGCTTGTAGAACACAGACTGGGTGATGCTGGTCTAACATACTACAGGATTCCAGAGCTCAAGTGATTAATCTTAACAGCAAATATGACCTCATTCCATTGCTCAGTGCTCCAGCAACTGTATCTTCCAAGGCAATCCTCGAACTTCTAACAAATAACCTCTGACAAAGGTCAACATGATTATAGCAGAATTAGATCTTCATTATCACTGTTGCATCATATCAGTGTGTGCCATCTGGGCTCAACATGTATGTCCCTCTCTCATAAAGAGGGCTTGGCTCTCTTCCCCCCACCCCTCAACCCCCCGCCAAAAAATCCCCATAAGATTAATTTCTAAACTACAGAGAAACAAATATCAGCAATATGCAGGCAGCACAGACACTTGCCTGTGGGTCTATAAAGAGCTGGGTGGGAGTTTTGGCCCCTACCACTTGGGTAGGGCCCCTCTGAGTTCCAGTTTTCCCAACTGTACAATAAAGTAGAATAAAATAAAATCACCATAATAATAACACCGCTCCTTTCGAATCTCACAGGGTTTCTGTTGTTCTTCTTACTGCTTCATTACAAAGTCTAGTCTTCTCGTCTCTTCAAGGCAACACCTGACTCACTCTTGCCAACTGTACATATCATTCCCACACCTGGCATTATAAACATCCGTTTCCTTATGGGGGAAGTGGTGTCAACATAGAAAGAGTTGTCGACTCTGGGGCTTTGCAGCAAATCTAATAATGACTTCTTGGGGTGCCTAGCACTCAGGATTGGGAAGGACTCTACAGACAAGGGCAGTGAAAGAAGTATGCATCCACAGCGAGTGCGCCGATTGTTTTCATGTTTCAGAAAGTAGTGGAATCCAGCACTGGCATGGAGTCCCTAGTCCCGCAGACTCGTCTAGCCCTGTCCCACAGCTGTTGTCACCGCCGGGCAACTACATCTGAGAGGCAAATGCTTTTCCCCCTGCCCGTGCTTTTGAAATCACCAGCGAGCACTTCCTCTGCGCCTAGAATAGTGTTAGGCGTGGGGGGTTGGTGATACAAAGAGCTATGAGATTTGGCCTCTTTCTCTCGGAGTTAAACGTCTAGATGGGACGGCAAAACAAACAATTAGAGACCCACTGGGATGTACATTGTAAGGTAGTCGTGACACGGGTAATGGGATCGCATTCACCGCCGACCGCCTATTCATCAGCTCTCGCATTTCTTTCTTTAGACAACAAATCCTGACTGAGCTCACACTGTGCTCAGGATGGTGCCAAGGGGGAGGGTTTGAAGACGCCGAAGACAACATAATTTCCGGCTTCCAGACTCCACGCAAATTGGGGAGACAAACATTTACACAGGGAACAGACAACATGGAACGGGAGGTCGGGCTTAGGTGTCGGGGAGAGGGGTACCTACCGGGTTCACGGACAGAGCCATGTCTGACAGGAGCTCCCAGCCGCCGAGGTCCCCGCCGTAGTCCTCACTCCACATGGGAGTGGGAGGCCAGGGATCACCTGAGGCCACTTCAGTCTCTGAGCCCCCTGCAGAGCTGCGCGCCGGGGTCACTCTGCACACTGAAGACAGCTGCACTGAGGCTGGGGCTCGGCCCCGAAATTTTGCCCAGTGCCACTCTCCCCCACTTCTCTCTCTCTCTCTCTCTCT